TGGCTTCGTCTAAAGAGAGATATGGCCTCATCTGCATCGATAAGGTTTCCCTTTAGAGAGAATAAAGCTTCTTACAGAGAGAAAAACCATGGATGTGCCTCCTGTGATTGAGAAGCTGGTTTTTTTGTAGAGAATGGGTTTTCATGAAGATTTTTGGGTGGATTCCCCTTTTAGTGAGAGAATGTCTGGGTGGATTTCCCTTTTAGTGAGAGAAACTCGATTAGGTTTTGTTGAGGGTTATAAAGGGAACTCTATGTCCCAGAATTTGTATTGTAACTTTCATTGGTATAATAGATTTTAGTTTGTCATACCCGTGGATGTTGCCCTCTTGGGATGAATCACATAAATTTTTATATTCATGTAACATGTGTGTTTTGTGCTTTATTTCTCGTATTGTAGCTCATGCTCTCTCTTATTTTGTTTCTAGCTGGATAAGTGCACGATTTTGGTGAGATCCAAGTTTTCGAATTGCTTTTTTTGCGAAGGTTTTTAAATCCTCTCTCACCCAAACCGACATATTTACCACTTAGCCTTTCACTGACCCCTTGGCTTGGATAGAACCAGGATCTCCCTTACCATCTCTTTCTCTAAATGCATTTCTAGATGATGACATAATGTCGTTGTGTTTAATTTTTTTTTGGGTGAGTCAGTGTGGAGAGGGCACGTACCTTTGGTAGGCATTGAACTTAGGGCGTAGCTTTGCAAACTGTCAAGTGCTAACCAAAGTACAACACATTAACTTCAAATAGATTTCATTATTTATTTTTTTGAAAAAATACAGGCAGTAATTTTCGCAACTAGAACGTGGTCACTTGTTCGCATGTAAAAGAACATGGCCCTTTTCAACCTTGCCCTATTTTTTTTCCCTTCTCACTCACTCACACAACGAACGAAAAAAGAATGGGGAGTTAAATTCCCATTAACAAATAATAAATATAAGGTAATAAATAAGGTATGAAATGAGGCCATTTATCTTTGGTACAAGGTGATCTTAACCATTAGATGTGAAATTGGGTGGCTGCAATTATTCCATTGACCAAGCTCAAACTTCAAAAAAAATTTCTCAAACTTTGTGATACATCAAAACTATCAAACTTCATATCAGATGGTTGTAAGTAATTGTAACCCCCTTGTATCAAAGCTAAATAGTCTCATCGTATACAATCCTAATAAATAAAACATTAATCTTTCCCATCAAGAAAAGGGAAAAATAAATAAAAAGTATTAAACTTTCTCGTCAAGGAACTCTGTTTTGAAGATTTTTTTTTATAAAAACTTATAAAAACCCTCAAATCTATCTTTCTAAGCATGCTACCCCCTCAAAACTTTTGATAATACAACACTAATCCGAAAAATGTTTTTTTATCAACCCAAATGTTTTTTTTACGAAAGAATCATATTTTAAAGCAAATTTTCTTTCATTTCTATTAAAACTGGTCTGACATGCATTATGTGGGGTCGGCACACATATTCATGAAGCAAGCTGGTGTGGTAGAATGTGTGTCAGACCGGCTTGAGTTAGATCAACTCCCAATCTCCATTAAACTGATCTAATGTGCTGGACTGAATTCATTATAAACACAATGCGTGTTGGACGAACTTGAATAGGGCCCGTAGACAATCCAATATATATTTTGCGAGATGGGCTTCATTGCCTTCTAGTATACATTAGTGGTCATACCCACTTCAATAGGAGGAAAAAAAAAAAAAACTCAAAAAAAGATATTTTATAATAAAAAATAATTTTGTTACTTGGGGGTAAATGCCAAAAATAATAATAATTAAGGATTTATGATGCGCTCAGGGCGGTTTCTCTTTATTTACTTATTTTTAATGTAACCCAAGTTTTCAGTCTTTCTAGAAAGGCCGCTCAGACCGAGTCTTTCGGTTCTCTCTCTTCCATTTCTTCCCCTTCTCTCTACGTTTATTACTTCCACGCTTTACTGCAATATTCTGCAATATGCACAAATATCCATCCTCTCTGTCATTTCAATACGGGAAACATGACAAAAAAACTTATCTTTTTTTGCTGAGTTAATGCTATATAAAAGGTTTAGGGTTTTTGAGGTCCAGGGTTTTGAGAGTAGAGGAAATGGTTCTCTGGGAGATCGCAGTTGGGACTGCATACTTCCTTGGATTGAAAAGGACTTACAGGCTCGCTTTGAAGCTCCAACGCCGGATCATAAGCCCTAGATACCCAAGGCTCCACGAATTTGCTTATAAGTCAGTTATTTTCTTCTATTTCTATTTATTTATTTATTTTGTTATTATTATTTATTCATAAATGTTGTTTCTGATTCCAAAGTTCTTCGGTAGTTAATTTTGATGGTATTTTTCTGTTTTCTTTTTTTCTTTTCTTGGTTTGGTGATCCTTTTACTGCAAAAGCTATTAAGAATTTTGGGCTTCCTTTGATTGAATCAAGCTGTGGGTTTCTACATTGAAACATTTCTAAGAAGCAGAGTGGGCATTGATATTGTTAGAATGAAAAAGTAGGTTTTCTCTTTATTTCTACCTTTATTGATCAGAGTTACTTGTAGTTATGTGAATGAATAATGGATTTTGATGAATTTCTTATGTTAATTCAATTGAATCATATTTGAGAAAGGAAAGCTGTGATGAATCTAGTGCACTATTTTTTCTTGAAGTTGTAAGAAGAAATTTTTTGGAAGGGATTTTGTTTTTGGATGTTTATGTTTTTGCTGATATTTTTTATTAACACATATTTCTTGGCATGAAATTCATAGTGCAATCTATTTCAGTTCTAATATTACTGAACTTGCAAGGAAATAGTTTACTTGGACATCAAGAAACCATGGTTAATCATGTTTTTCATTTCTAAATCATGTTTGTCTTCCTACTTGCAAAGATGTGTTAATCTAACATGTTGATTCTCTGACTTTGTTTTTGAAATTGATAGCAATATAATGTAACAAATTGTGACCTAAAATTTATTAATGGGACTTCCTTGGAGGGGTAGGATGACGTCTTAATAGTTTTGCGTATTTGGAATGAATGCATGAGATTCTCCTGAGTTATTTTCTAGCAAGCTTTGATGGCTCGGTAAGACATGCTAAAAGGTGCTTTATATATGTGTAACCTGTGTAACCTGAAA